GTAGCCCCCTCCCATCAGTGGGACGGGGAAGCTCATTAAAAGAAAGGAGAAGGGAGAAGGGGAAAATCTCATTTAAAAAAACGGGAAAAGAGGCTTTTAAAAAAATTTAAAAATCTGGGAGAAAATCTCTTTCTCTGGCCATCTTTCCTCCCTCCCTTCTTTCTTTCTTTCTTTCTTTCTTTCTTTCTTTCTTTCTTTCTTTCTTTCTTTCTTTCTTTCTTTCTTTCTTTCCTTCCTTCCTTCCTTCCTTCCTTCCTTCCTTCCTTCCTTCTTTCTTTCTTTCTTTCTTTCTTTCTTTCTTTCTTTCTTTCTTTCTTTCTTTCTTTCTGAGGTTCAGTTTTTTTCCTCCCAGGGGTTCCATCCAAGCCTTCCCTGGTCAGGATTGTCTCTTTTTCCCATCTCCTCCATGGATCTTTTCTCATTCTTCCCGATTGTTTCCAGGCCGACTTCGAATACTTGGTTAAAAACAGTGAAATCAACTGCAGGCACCTCTATCAGTACTTCCAAGATGTCCTGGCCATCTTCGACGTCCACCAGCAGAAACTCATCCAACAGGACCACGAACTTCAGAAAGCTTTAAACGATTGTCGTTGCAAGCACGAAAACATGAACAAGGTCAGAGCGCCGGTCCCCGTTTGGGGATGGGGGTTTGCCTGGGAGGAGACTGCAAAAAAAATAATAATAATTGAGAAATTGGATCCTGGGTAAAGATCCTTTGGAGAGGATCTCCAGGGAGCAATTTTTCTGCTCTCCGTTTAGTTTTCTAAGGTCCTTTTTGTCTAATCTGAAACTTCTCTCTGGAAGATGCAGACCGCTTTCTCTCTCCCTCGCCCGTTTTTGGAGGATGCAAAAAGAAGAACATTATTTTGGAGCGATCTGCCTTTTTAACAAATGGGGCTTTGTTTTGAGGGGGGAAATTCCAGGCTGTCCACTTTAGAATTATTCTAGGGTCCCTCTGAGATTGTTTGTTTGTTTGTTTGTTTCAGACCTTTCATTACCCAGCTAGGTAACATCATCAGTGCTGCAAGGAGTGAGGTTTGCTCTCTGCTTATATACAGTGGCTTGCCCTGTCAATGTTGGTGGGAATGTTTGTGGTGGTTCCTTGATGAGACTTTTGTTTATAGTTGGATCGTTTGTCTGAGTTGGTAGTTCTTTGTTTGGGGGGATTAAGCAAAACCCACTCCCTTCTAGCACCGATGACGTTACGTAGTTGGGTCGTGAAATGTCTGCAATAAAAGAACCAAAGTCAGAGAGCACCAAGAACGCCATCCTCTTCCTTCTCCTCCCCTTTCTCCTCCTCCTCCTCCTCCTCCTCCTCCTCCTCCTCTTCTTCCTCTCTGCAAACCCCACTCCCCTCTAGCACTGATATTACCTAGTAGTAATGATGCAGAAAACCACCCAGCTCAGAGAGCACCAGGCACTCTGTGTATCATTATTCTTAGCCTTTCCTGCCCCCCCCACCCCCAGTGTCAAAGCAGCTTAAAAGAACATTTTGTTTGCAGGCTGGTTCTTAAAATGAGCTCCTTCCATGCATCAGCTAAAATCATTCTAATATGCAACTGGTTTATATATATATATATATACAAAACCTCTCTTTGTTTTCGGCCCGCAACTAGCTAAGGGAGATGAATCTGGACATCACAGTGGACAAACTCAGGATGCAGAGCAACGATGAGAAGCTGAAAGCTTACCTCGAGAAGGTTTATGCTGCCTTGGACATCATTCACAACGGGTACGAGAAGGACCGCCTAGAGTTGCTTTGAGGGGTTTGGACCCATTTGAGGAAGAAAATCTCTGCTTTCAGTTTAGTTTAGTTTACTTGGTTATGGAGAAGGTCACCGGCAGTTTTCCGTTCAGTTGTTTCCTGAGAAGTCTCAGGTAGCATAATAATAATATAATCAATTTATAATAATTTGGGTGGGGGGGGGCGCTCATCCTCCCACTAGAATGTGAACTGCTGCAGTTTGGAGAAAGGAGGTTGGAAAGGTTCAGATTCCCCTGTTTTCCTTTCGTCAAGGTACACCGTCTTCCATCAAGACCTCTTGTCTAAAGTGACAGCTTACCCGCGTCATGTTCGGCACGAGCTTCTTTCCTACAGCGCGGCCATCAGCCGATATTTTTACGTCCTGGGCAGCTACAAAGGGGTAGGCAGAAAAAAAACAAAAAACACAGACCGCTTAATACAACATGCATGAAGCTTAGCCGGCACTCAGAGACGCCCGTCAAACAGCCGCCGGTGGGATTTAGAGCCTGAATTCCCAGTCCTTCTGAATGGCGGTTTAGAGGAGAATGCAGGGTGACAAAAAGTTGGCTGCCGTACCAGCATCTCGCAAATCCGGTGGCGCTGGAGCTCCACTTCCCCTCCTCCTGGTCAGCTTTGGTAGCCCTATTGAGACCAGATGCTCCCACGATGCCCCATTTTGAGCCTGGGAAAACGGGAGGAGGGGAATTTCCTGGAGCGTAGGTAGTTAGACATCGCAACATTCTTTTTCTAACTCAAGGTCATGTTAGTTTGCGCATAAGTGAGGGGGAAGTCTTACGTTGGGACGGATGGCGATTGGGGCACGGGATGCGAGGATGGGCGCAGGGGATGGAGTTTGTCGGTTTTACTTGCTGCACAGAAGCCGGGGACTGTCGGGTTCGGGATTCCCACAATTGTGCCGGTTTACTATCCAGATTAGAAAAAGAACTTTTGAGAAGATCTGTCTGTCTGGGAGTTATTGGTTGGAGTGGAGGTTTTCTGGAAGGCTGGCACTCTTCTTATACCCCTGTGGATTAGGGGGAGCGCCTGGTTGAGCTGCTTCCAGATTTTATCTTGTTCTGGACCTTGGAAAAGAAGGCGCTTTGACGCTTTTCTCTATACTTTTAGCCTTCCTGCGGCACGAATTTCCAGGCCTGTTCCATCTAACAAATACGTTTTAGCTGCCAATCCAAATCACAACCACAAAAATACAAGTGAAGCCCTGCTTTGCCACCCTGGTCTGAACAAGCCATGCCAGTCTCTTTATTTGGGGTGTGGCTTCTTATCCTGGTTAGATTGCTTCTTAATACAGTGGATTCGATCCGTCTTTCCGCGTTGCTTGGTGGATTCGTGGGCAGTTTATTTAAAGCCAGGATGGACCTTGTGTTAATTGTTCCTTACGCTGATGTTGCGGGAAATGGTTGTGGGTTTTGGTTTTTTGTTTTTACTCTCCCTTTCTCCCTCTCCCCTATTTTTCTCCATTTTTATTTTTATTTTAGAAGACCTTAAAGAAATCGGGAGGCTCAGATGAAGGAAGAGGGGAAGATGGAGGTAAGGATTACATCCCATGAAGTCCTTTTTTTTTTTTTCAAATACGGCTAGTTCCTCCCCAATTTCTATCCAAGTTGGTTGTTAAGTAATTTTTTTAATAAACTTTATTAGTCTTTTATATCTTTAAAAACCGAAGCAAAAAATATACATATTATGACATTAACAGTATCTGACATCTATCTCATAAACTTCTATTTTGTGCTTATTTACAAATATGTACAATTTATGCAAATGTAAACCTTTATAGGTTGCTTCTCATTAATTCTTTCATCTCCCATTTGTCTTAATTCAATCCAATCATAGCCATTTCCCCCAAATTTTATAATATTCAGAGTCCTCCTTCTCTCATAACATCAGGGTTAATTTATCCATCTCAGCACTCGCCATTATTATTTGTTAAGTAATTTTTAAAAAACAACTGTTTCCCGCCCTCTTTGAAGTTCGCTGCCATTGTTAAGCGAATCGGGAGGTCGTTATGTGAATCCAGCTCCCTCCTGTTGACTTTGCTACCAGCCTCCGGTCAGCTCCCATGGATGTCCTCACCTTACAGCTGCCCGTTTAAGCAAAGTTTGAAATTTCAACAGCACTGAGAAAAAGTAACATCTGGCTGTTTTTCACACCGACATCCCCTTGGTCGCGGGATCAAAATTCAGACCTTTTGGCAGCCGGTTCATATTTACGAAGGCCAGAGTGCCCCATGATCTATTTTTGTGACTTCCGGACAAGCGAAGTCTGGGAAAGCCAGATTCACTTAATAATAGTTTGAATTGACTTAACAACTGCAGTGAAACACTGGTTACTATTCATGGCTAGCAACACGGTTGCTAACAACTGTGGCAAGAAAGCGCGTAAAACTCGCTTAACCACGGTCTCCCTGAGCAACGGAAATGTGGGGCTGTTCTGACCCAAACCCTTTTCCAGTAAAACAAACACGAACCAAAGGGAACAGAAACCTTGTAATGATTATTACGAATCCCCGGTTAAAAGGCTGCTGCAAACTAATTAACTTTGATAAGCACAAGCCTTGCCAAAACTATACGAGACTGCCACGAATCACAGATAAGAAATATTCCACAACACAAGAGTCTTCAAATACCAACTTAAGATACTGTAATGTCCACGAGGCTGAGTTTCAAAACGTCTTTGCTTCCTGCGAAGAACGTTGGCTTCACAGCTGGCTTTTATCTTCTTGAAGGAGGGGCCATTACCTTGCAGCCTTACTCCTGAGTCTCCCGTGCTGCTGCAGCTGCTCTCTCCTGCGAGCAACCCTGCGTGCACACGCACTTGGCACAGGCTCCTCAGGAACCTCCTCATCGCTCTTGCCAGCTTCCACAATCTGTGAAGGGTCCTGGCCCCTCATCTAGTCCTCACTCTCCTCAGCCGTCCGCACCTGCTGCCAGCTAACCACAACAGGGGCTCAGGGGCAGATGTAAGCCCAGATGTAAACCTGTAATGGATTGGCCACTGCTGAGGGATGCTGGGAGTTGTAGTTTAGCCACAGCTGGAGGGCCACAGCTTCCCTGTCCAACTTTGAAGGTGCCGGACTGGAATATATTTGGTTGCATTGTTTTGAACAGAAGCAACCGAGGAGACCAAAGAGGGAGAAGAAACAGAAGAGAGCGAGGAAGAGCTGCTTCTGGAAGAGGGGGACGCTGAAGGACCCGATCGTATCGAAGAGGAGGAAGAGGAAGAAACGGAGGCCTCTCCTCGCCGGAGCGGCAAGATCAGCATCAGTGGAGATGACATTGAAAGAGCAGCGGAAGAGAAAGTCTTGGGCCCCAGGGCTCAAGGCAGCACTGAGCCAGACCTGGTGAGCTAAGAGGATCAGGCGACATCCACGCTTCCTTTGTGCGTGGATTACAAGGAGCTTTTCCCACCCCGTTGATCGATTCCTTTCTATCCTGCCTCGGTTATCTTTACAATCCAGCACACCTCCTGCCTTCTGTTTTCCCTACAACAACAACCCTGTGAGGTGGGTTGGGCTGAGAGAGAGGGAGAGAGAGAGAGAGGGACTGGCCAAAAGTTGGCTTTTATGGCTAAGGCAGGACTAGAACTCACCGTCTCCTGGTGACTGGCCCAAAGTCACCCAGTTGACAGTCATGGCTAAGGCAGGACTAGAACTCACCATCACTTTGTGACTGACCCCAAGTCCCCCCCAAGGCTTTCATGCCTAAGATGGAACTAGAACTCCCTGTCTCCAGGTTCTGGGCTCCCATCACTAGACCAGACAGGCTTCCTAAGGGGTTGAAAACATGAATGGAAACTCCTAAAGAAAAGGAACAGAGCTGACTAGAACTTAGTCATTGGTCATCCTCGTGTTTTAAACCACGTTTCAAAAAGAGCAGCTCAGCCGCCTCCCTTCTTATTTTATTATCCTCCTTGCAGACCAAGAAGGAGTCAGACAAGGAGTCCAAGCGGAAGGATGTGATTGTGGAATTCTTCACCACGTCCAGCGAAAACACCTACAAAGTGGTGGAGCACTTGAAGAAGTCCAAGCTGCGGAAACCGGAGAAATATTATGTGGGAAAACTGAAAAGCAGTTCTCTGCCTTCTTATGTGGAGGAAGTGTATCTGTCAGAGGCTTTCTTTAGAGATGTCAGAAGACAGTAAGTACAAACCTTTCTTTCTTTCTTTTTCTCTTTGTCTGTCAATTTCTGTCTCTCTTTCCTTTCTCTCTCTTTCTCTTTTTCTATTTCTTCCTCTCTCTCTCTCTCTCTCTATTTTTGTCTCATATCTCTCCTTCTGTCTCTTTCTCTCTGCGTGTCTCTTTCTTTCTTTCTCTCTCTTCCCTCCCTCCCTCCCTCTCATAAGTTTTCTCCAGTTAAGGAAAAGGATTTCAGGAGTGCTCTAAACCCACCCGCTGAGATACATCAAATTCCTAATAATACACATTTTAAACAGCTCCGGTGAATCCTTTTTAGGAATTTATTTTGGGCCTGGTTGATTTGGGGGCTGCCTGTGCAAAACATAGCAGAACAATCCCCACAAGTCGAGGGTTTAGAGAGACTAGGGGAAATCAGGATGAAACAAGAAACTAAGATATTTTTAATCTGGGTTCTCTATTTCTCGAAAACGTTACTACGGCCACCCACCTTTCAATGGGCAACTCCCCGATTTACGATGCAAGCCTTAGCTAGCCAGGTTAGCATTCAGACATGGCCACAGTAGCCCTTCAGACCCACCCGCCAACCCCAGGATCTACTGGATGCTCTCGCTCCTCCCTTCCTTCTCTCTGTGGCCTTTTGAGGTGGGACCCGCCGCCCGTTTATCATCCAGCTGTTTCTTCCTCTCTGCTCCCTCCCCTGGCAGTCTCCGACTCCAGTTCTTTGAACACCTGGAGCAGTGGTTTGATGACACCCTAGCCAGCACCTGGGTCGTGGTGGTGGTGAAGAAGGAAGAGCTCAGTGCCGAGCTGCAGCTGCGCCTCCATCTTCACGAACCCCGGAGGGAACGTATCGAGAAGGATGTCTACAACGTCAGGATGGGTACGCAGTTCTGGTTCTGTTGTGGCCGTTTCTATCCTCTAGCCGGATCCACTCCCGGTCCTTGCGGTGCGAGTCCTTGGATTGAAGTGTGTCTGTGGGTGGGTGGGGTGGGTGTTATTGAGAGGCCGGGGGACACATTTAAAGACAGTCTTCGACTTAACGGCCACAACCCAGCCCAGAATTTCTCCTGCTAAACGAGGCGAGGTTTGTGGCCTGTCGCATTTTACGACGTTTCATGCCACTGTGGTTAAATGAATCGCTGCAGCTATTGAGTGAATCACGCAGCTGTTAAAGGGAAGGTAGCAAAAGGGGATCGTGTCTCACGCGCACACACAGACACACACACTGCGATCATCATAAGTCCAAATTTTGAGTATTACCCAACAAATCATATCATCAGGTGTCAGGAGGGAGGGAAGAGGAGGAGGAGGAGGAGGAGGAAGACTGTGGGGTCCTTGGTGCTCTCTGAGCGTGCTTGTTTTCTTGCAGATGTTTCATGACCCAACTAGGGAACATCATCCATGCTGGTGTTATCTCATTTCCCAAACACTTGTAGGCCTGTTTTGTGAGCAGAACCTTGTTGGGATCTTGTCTGATCCCGCCGGGCTCTTCTCACCAGCTTGAGGGTGACTTTTTGGGACCCTTTTCTATCCTTCCCTCCTTTATCTAACCTCTGGGAATTTTCCCCCTTCCTCTCAGCGGAGCTACGGATTCACAGCGACCGCTTGAAGCGTCACTGCGCCGCCTTGATTGAGGCGCTGAATAAAGAGAGAGGCGCCTTCTTCAAGATCCGAGAAGACCACAACGCGGTCAGCAAATCCTTCCGAAACCGAATCCAAGAGATGGAGAAAGTCTTCCAGACGGAAAGCCGGGCGGAAAAGTCAGTTGGACGTTGGAAAGATAGGGGATGCTACCCCCCCACCCCCCGTAGGATTCGGCCTCTGGGCTTTGGAGACGGCCCTGCAGAAGGCGCCATCAGAATGTAGAAGGAAGGAGTAGGAGGGCAATGGCCCAGAGGTGGAGCTCTTGCCTCCCAGTCAGGGGGCCGTGAGTTCAATCCCAGGTAGAGGCAGGTATTTCTCTCTCTGGTCGCACGGAGAATATATCCGCTGAAAAACAAAACTCCGCATTGGCAACAGGGAAGGTATCCGGCCATTCAAACACTCAGTTGCCCAGACTCCACCCCGCAAGGGATTATGGGGTGGTTAAGTGAGGAGGAGGAGGAGGATCAGTACTACAAAGGAGAGGGGTGTGTGGAATGGAGGAGGAAGACTGTGGGGTCCTTGGTGCTGTCTAAGCTAGGTGGGGTTTTTCTGGGGGTTTTTTTTGCAGACATTTCAAAACCCAACTACGTAACATCCTCCGTTTTCATTACCCAAAACTGAAGATGTAACCGAGTTTAACAAATGAAGATGCCTAGTTTGTCCTCCTAGGACAGCCTCTGGGCGGTGTGCGACGCCCACACGCAGCTCACTTAACGTCCCCTTTTCCACGGCCCTCCTCCCCTTTCCCCCAGTGAATGTCCAGTCGAGTGCTTGGACATTCTTCGGGCAGCAGAGCCTCCGTTTCCAGCTCGCTTCCTTCCGATGGTTGAGGTTGGCGGGCTGGCTGGTGCTTCTCCCATGACTTGGTCCCCAGCCCCTCCCCTAATTCCTCCCTCCCTCCCTTCCTATCCTCCCTTCCCTTCCTATCCTCTCCCCCTTTCCTTACCGGCTGGCAAACGCGCGTCCACCTTCGGAGGGTGTTTCAGAGTCACACGGCTTTCCTCCCACTCTCTCCTCCGCAGGGTGATGGCCCTGAGCCGTAACCTCCACATGGAGCTGCTGAACCACGTGGAAGTGCTCCAGGTCTCCATGAGGAGTTACCGACAGTACCTGGAGGAAGCCCTGGGGAAGCTGCGAGATTCTAACACGGAGTTCCTGAAAGCCTGCAGGTGCCCAGGATTAAGAGGGCCGGGAGGGTCTTCTAGCCCCGGGAAGGTGGGCCTCCTCCAGCCAACGCTTGAGCCATCCCCCTTGTTGTGGTTGTGGTTGTGGTTGTTTTTAGGCTCTTTGCAGACGGTGGCAACTTCTCCCCCGAGGAGCTGGAGATCTTCATGAAGCAGCTGCAGAAGGAGAACTCGCGGATCGAGTTTGTCGAAGGGTTGATCATGATCGACATGGAGAAAGCAGAGACCGGCTACCTGGAGCAGGTCAGCCCGAGAGAGAGAGAGAGACAGAGAGACAGAGAGAGAGAGAGAGAGAGAGAGGGAGAGGGAGAGGGAGAGAGAGAGAGAGACGATGCCAAACGAACCAGAGTCGGGTTTGGGGAAGAGAGTCAGAAGGGAGCGAGTGGATCCTTGTATGCAGCTGGTCCTCAGCCTGCAACCACCGTCGAGCCCCAAACGTCAGCTCTAGTTAAGTGGGGTGGTCGTTAAGTGAGTTTTTGACCCCCATTGTTAAGCAAAATCTCTGCCGGTCTCCAGTTGGTCACACGGTCGTTCAGTGAATCCGGCTTCCCCGTTGACTTTGCTTCTCAGAAGGGGTTTGGCTCCCCCCAGGGACGCTGCGACCGTCGTAACTACGAGCCGGTTGCTGAGTGTCTGAATTTGGGGGATGCTGCAAGAGTGAAAAAAACAACAACAGCCCCTTAAGTCAATGCCGTCATAGCTTTGAACAGTCCCTAAAGAAATGGCTGTAAGCCGAGGACTACCTGTATACATGGCATAGGTGCAAGGCAAGGTACAAGGAATTGGGGCTGGTGAGGTCCAGAAGAAGGGCCTTTTCTGCTGTGGCTCCCACCCTCTGGAACCCCTCCCCCCACACCCCCAGCCCTCCTCCTCCCTCTGTCTGCTTTGTTCCCTCCCTCTCCATCCTGCTTGGTTTTGGTGGCGTTTTGAAATCCTGCCCTTCCCCAACCAGGCTACGGAAACGATCACCAAGTTCGAGAACAGGTTTCGTTACCTGGCTATGGACCGAGTCTTCCTGGAGAGGATCCAGCGGTTCCTGACCAATATTCAAGTGAAAATCAAGACAGAGGTGCCAAGAGGAAGCGATTCCACCTCTCGCTCAACCTTCCTTCCCTTCCCTGCCCTTCCCTCTCTCTATCTCACTTTCCTTCCTTCCTTCCTTCCTTCCTTCCTTCCTTCCTTCCTTCCTTC